AAGCGCTGCTCATATACTTTAAATATTTGTTTAAATAAGATATCTTGTGTAATTTGTCTCATTAACTGCACTGTAGGATATGAATCTTGTCTTGTTAAATTATTCCCCGTGGTGCCTGGCTCTACAAAAGTTGGTTATTTAGTAGATGTTAATTTATTGATATGTTTTCTCAGTTAGTGGTTTTTTTAAATCATTACGATTAGAGTTCTTGACCTCAGGAGATGTCACCGAGGTTGAAAACACCCCAGGCAGTTTTTTTTTTGTTTTGTTTTGTTTTGTTTTTTTTTTTTTTCAATGTTTATTTATTTTTGGGACAGAGAGAGACAGAGCATGAACGGGGGAGGGACAGAGAGAGAGGGAGACACAGAATCGGAAACAGGCTCCAGGCTCCGAGCCATCAGCCCAGAGCCTGACGCGGGGCTCGAACTCACGGACCGCGAGATCGTGACCTGGCTGAAGTCGGACGCTTAACCGACTGCGCCACCCAGGCGCCCCTCAGGCAGTTTTTCAAAAGTTGCTTATTATTGGTTCGGATGAGATCTGAGAGACCGAATTTAGTAGTCCCTTCTTTTTTTTCTTAAAATAATTTTGTTTTTAAAATTTTTGAGAGAGACAGTGAGCAGAGGAGTGGCAGAGAGAGAGCGAGATCCAGAATCCAAAGCAGGCTCCAGGCTCTGAGCTGTCAGCACAGAGGCCTACGCGGGGCTCGAACTCACAAACCACGAGATCATGACCTGAACTGAAGTCGGACGCTTAACGGACTGAGCCACCCAGGCGCCCCAGTAGTCCCTTACTTTCAGGGGCAGTTCTGACTTATACCCCATGAATCATAAGGCAACCAGACTTTCTTTTCAGGTATTTTTTTTTTTCTGTGATGTTTTCACATGCTTTTTTTTTGGCTGTAAGTTTTGGATGAACTGTCACTTGAAAGAAAATTCTAAAACGAATGTAAGTGCTCAGGGAGGTACTTGCTTGCCTAAGATCTTACAAGGCGCTAAACACTCTTCAAAACAAGCCCATCCTAGCTCCTAAACCCACACCCTTTCTGGATGACCAGATAGAGAGTGGTGGTCATTCTCATGAAATGCAGGGTGCTCAGGGACATGAATTGTGAGGACAGAGCTTGGCTCGGAAACAGTGTTTCTATAACTTCATGGTAGAATTATTCCCCTTGGAGAACGTTGCATGAACACAAGTTACTCATTGATTGAATCCCAACCACGCAAGTGCGTTTCCAAAATCAATCACCCTTAATTCATTCCACATGTACTTGTAAATATTCATATAATTGCCTGTGTGACTCAGTTCTTTGTGGTCCGTCTGCCGGTGTAAAGATGGGGAAGGTGTGGCATGGTGTGAAGATTCTGGGATCAGTCGACCTGGTTTTCAGGCTCTTCCTGATGATGCTATTTACCAGCTGTGTGATACTGAAAGGCCAGTTGACCTCAGTAACATTCAGATGCCTTATTTGGAAAATAGGGGTAGAAGACATCACCCGAGTCATCAGGTTGCTGTCAAGATTTAATGAAATAATACGCGTACGGTGCTTGGCATGATGCCGGACATGTGGCAGGCATTCGATAAAAATCAAATATTACCATCATTCTTTCATTATTAGCCTGAGAAAATCATCTAATCAGGATGAGAGGATCTCAACAGTCTTTGGAGTTAGCTACTCCTCAGATAATTTAATCCCCGCACCAGTTTTCCCATCCTGCCTAGCTCCCAGTTGAATACCTGTTCTTGGAGAACCCTGGCTCCTCAAACCTTCCGATATTGAACTAAACTTAGGCTTAAACCTGTAGCTTTCACCGTTTGGAAACACAAAGAACAGATGTAAACCCTTGCCTCATGACAGCCCTTTGTGAATTTAAAAATATCTTTAATCATGGGCTTTTCCTTAAACTTCCTTGGAACTTTTCCTACCTCTCCCTGAAACTTTTATTTGATCTTTCTCCTTCCCTTCAGCACCGAAACTTTGGGAGGAATCATCCATATATGTGGTTTCAACTCCCTCCAGTTTTATTTTGTCTTCAACACCTCGGATACAGTGTCTGATTCAGCAGCTCCCCATGCTGGCGGCAGGGGGGTGGGGGGCGACATGCCCAGGAGTCAAAACGAAATGAAAACCAGAGAAATGATAGAAGGGACCCTTTTTTATTGAGCCTTTTGAAATGTTCTAATCCCTGTACTGAGAGTTTGTACATACATTTTCTCATTGTATCCTTACCAGACCCTATGTGAAGTATGTATTATTATTTGTATATTACTACTCATTTATTTTTTATTTTTATTTTTTTATTCTTGAGAGAGAGAGGGAGGGGCAGAGAGAGAGAGAGAGAGAGAGAGAGAGAGAGGGAGAGGGAGAGAGAGCAATTCCCAAACAGGCTCCACACTCAGCACAGAGCCTGATATGGGGCTTGATCCCATGACCCTGGGGATCATGACCTGAGCCGAAATCAAAAGTCGGACGTTCAAATGACTGAGCCACCCAGACGTCCCTCTTATCTCTATATTACTCTTGAGGAAAATGGGTCTCTTGAGAGTTTGAATTGTTGGTCATCCCGCATCTTGAAAGCATTGGTGGGGCTGGGCAGGGAGCTGTCTGCCTCCAGAGCCCCTGCATAAACACCAGGTATAGAAATACAAATAAAGTTGAGTGAGTGTAAGGAGGGTAGAGATAAAATCGCTCACTAGGTAATATCAGTGGGCACATACTATGTAGAAGATGTATCTGTAAAATAAAAAGAGACGTGGCATAGCCCTTCGCCTCATATACAGAAGCTCACAATCGGGTAAAGCCCCACACATGCACGCACACACAGATTGCTCACAAAAATAATAAGTCACAATTATGAGTAAAGACTAAAAGGTAGCAGTATAGGCATATGCAGTGAGACATCTCTCCCATTCATTCCTTTCTTGCATTTAAAAATGGTTTATAGGGGCGCCTGGGTGGCTCAGTCAGTTAAGCCTCTGACTTCGGCTCAGGTCACAATCTCAAGGTTTGTTGAGTTCAAGCCCAGTGTCGGGCTCTGTGCTGACAGCTCACAGCCTGGGGCCCGCTTCGGATTCTGTCTCCCCTGTTCTCTCTGCCTCTCCCATGCTCACACTCTGTCTCTCTCTCTCTCTCTCAAAAATAAAGAAACATTAAAATAAATAAATAAAAATGGTTTATAAAGATACGTACGTAGGTATAACGGCAGAGGAAGGACCCAAGGTGTGGGTATAAGTAGCGATAAACAGAAGGAGATGTAAAGATATACAACAGAGCGATGGGTATGTATTGATGTTGAGATAGTGTGGAAATGGAGATAAGAACAAAGAAAAAAGTGTTTAAAGCAAAACGGTGGCCCAGAAGGATATAGCGGACTTCAGGATGGCAGTCGTTTTGGGGAGAAAAGGAGAGAAAAGGACCAGAGTAGGGTCAGAGGAGAGAGGGGAGGGGTGGGGAGCCCGGTACCCAGCGGAAACAGTATCAATAGCGTTCCGTTCAGTTTATATACGTACAAGTTTATGACTCAAATTAAAAATATACATAAAAAAAAAGAGTAACAATGTGCAGGGAGGGGCCGCGTCGGTTCCCCCC